GAAGTGACAGTTCAGGAGGAAACCTAGAATGGATGATCTCCATGGAGCACTTGCTATTTGGCCTTCTCATTTCAATTTTCAAAAAACTTAGAATATGATCATAGGCACTTATCTGAGGAGCTAGGGAGCCTGTATTAATCACTTACAGACTATAGGAACAGAATCTCACTAGGAACCATCTTGTCATATAAATCTATCATAAGAACAAGGCAGTAAAGAGAAAATTTAAAACTCAAAATGACAATCTCACATTAATGACTCCACCCTCAAAAGCTTTGGCATATTAAGCCAGCTCTGTTATAGCACATAGAGGAGAATAAATGAAGGAAAATGAAAACAATTTATAAGCATTTTGACCTACATTTACCTATCTTGAGGAAAGCTCCAAAGTGAATTCCTAGAGAGACTAAGTGAGTAGTTTCAACTGCTTGCCTGAAGACAGGCTGAAAGTAGAAGGGATCTCACAAACTTTAAATTAGTGAACTCTTTTCCTGTTACTTTTATTCACAAGGCTAGAGGGCAGAAGTATGAACTGAAGTTAGTGATGGGTACTATGGTAGCTGGCCTTCAAGATGGCCCCCAATGATTCTCACCTCCTGATATTCTTCCCTTTGTGTAGTCCCCTCTCACACTGAACAGGACTGACTTGCATAACCAATAGTATATTAAAGAAATGAAAGTGTATAATTTCTGAGGCTACATTTTTAAAAAGGCATTGTTTCTGTCTTACACCATTGGATCATTCACTCTGGGAGGAAGACAGCTGTTGTGTCATAAGGACTCTCAGGGAGCCCTAAGTCCTAGGAAGTCCATGTGGTGAAGAACTGAGACTTCTTGCCAACAGCCGTGTAAGCGAGCCATCTTGGATACAGATTCACTGGCCCCAGTGAAGCCTTCAGATGTCTGTAGCCAATATCTTGTCCACGACCTCACGATAGACCAAACCCAGTACTACCTAGCTAAGCCACTCCTGAATTCCTAACCAATGGAAAATATGTGAGATAATAAATGCTTATTGTTGTTATGAGCTGCAGATTTAGTGGGGGAGCAAGTGAATTGGTTTTGGTTTTACAATAGATAACTAATAAACAGTAGCTAATATGTGACAGAACCAGAACTCAAGCCCAAGTGTGATCCCAAAGGTTAATCTCCCAAAAAGTTGAAATTTTACCAGTGAACTTTTTAGCAATTTTCCTTAATTTACTTATTGAACTAATTTTTCTTTGAAATGAATTCAATTCAATTTACATCCCATGTAGAGAGAGGAACATCAGTCCTCTTGTTTGGTCAGTGACGTGCTGTATTTACTAATATTGGACAAGTTAGGACTTGGGTACAATCAGTTCAAAGTCAATAATAACCATGTCTATTTTCCAGGTGTTCATTAAAACTATTTCTAAAGAAGTGTGATTCATGTTTCAGGAGGAGTTTTTCTGTTGATTCTTCATTGAATCTTCTATTTTATGAAATATTAACGTGTACTATTCCACTTAATTTGTTCCTTCTCCTGTCCCTCCTGTGAAACCATTTTAGTACACAATTTCAATTTCCTCAAGAGGAAAAATTAGAGTTGTTTCTGAATTATCCTAACTAGAGTTGCAAATGATTTTAAGAACCACTTGAAGTTCTACCTAAAAGTTGTATCTAAATTTCATGTAAGTCACAATGTTTTTCCTTACTCAAATGTCATTTCAACCCTAGGGAGATAATCTTTTACCTTGAAAGATATAAACATTTCAGACTAAAGAAACAAATATTTTTATCTCTTAGCCCAGGTGAAATGAGTCATCCTGCAACTAAAGAACATCTCAACCCGACTATCAGACCTGAATGTTATTACAGTAAAAATAGGGCTTTCTTGTCCAATAGACTGCTCATTTACTTTGAAGTAGAGCCCCTGTAACTACTTCTTTGAGAAATGTTTTATTTCTCTCCTTAAAAGCATTTCTAATTATGGAGATTTGAATTTTCAAAATATTAATTAGGAGGTAATTCTTTGTTTAGTGAAAACATTAACCAAAGGATATATTTAGATAGTAGGACCTCCAGAGCTCTATTTACAAATATTTGTTTATACACAGGTTTTAGATAGTAAAATATAACTCACAGGCATGCATTGGTACACATACTTTATATTGCAAAAGCACTATTGCCTATTTTAAGCTTCTTATAAGGAATTCTAATTTTTCTCACTACTTATTTGATATGTAATTTCTTCAAAACCTGTTGCTTTTGTCCTTGCTATTCCAGTTCTGAAATCACCAGATGTCCAATATTTCAAGTCTTCTAGCTCATTTTACAGAACACTTCATAATTTACCTTAAACTTGGGTTGTTTTTCTTTGTTTTTGGAAACTATATGCCATGAGAGAGAGAGAGAGAGATCCTCAACTTCTATCAAAAAGAGAATGAATTAAATTAGCATTAGAGATGAGACTTTGTAGTGTGGTAAAATACACATAGTAAAATTTACCATTAGTGACATTTAGTATGCTTATAATGCTGTGCAATCATTGCCACTATCTAATTCCAGAACATCTTAATCAACCCAAAAATGTTACCGAACTCAAGTCTGGCTGCTTGTTGCTCAAAAGCCAATACTTCAGAGGCAAATGTTGGTAGAAAGGAAAGGTTGCTTTATTTGAGAGGCCAGCAACCCAGGGAGAAGGCAGATTCATATCCAAAGGCTAACTCCGCCCCCGCCCCCCGCCAATCAGGGGGCAAGAGATTTTAAAGGGGAGTTTCAGGGTGTGTAGGCAGAGGGAGGAGACTACATGTAGAACAGCATGGTCAGCTCTGATAGTCATCTTGAAATTGGTCATGCAGTGGTCTGATCAGCATCATCTTGATTGATTTAAGTACAGTTAATCTTCAACTCCAGGGTCGGTTTCTTCCCATTTCTTTGAGGCCAGTTATTGGAATTGTGGCAGCTTATGTCCTGGCTATGGTCTGGTCATCATGTAGTTAACTTCTTCCACCTGATGGGGGCTTCAGTATCTAGAAACAGCTCAAAAGATATGGCTTAGGATATTATCTATAGTCCTTGAGGAGGAACTAGAGGTCCTTGACTTTGCTTGATAACTAAACTAGTATTTTTTGTCTTGTTTGACTGTTTTTCTTTTCTTTTTGCATTTCCTCACTTTTCTGATTATTTATTCTTTGACAAGTTTTTCTATAGACAAAAGGCAGGTGGAGGACATGGCGGCATCTGTCCTGGGAAAGCACAATAGGGTCCTGCTCTATTTCAAGAGGAAATCCAAATTCATTAAGCAGTCACTCCTCTTTTCTTCCTCTCCAGCCCCTCTAGTAACTACCAGTCTGCTTTCAGTCTCTGTAGATTTGCCTATTTTGAATATTTCATATAACAGAATCCCACAATATGTGGCTTTTTGTGCCTGGCTTCTCTCACTTAGCATAATGTTTTCAAGGGTCATTCATGTAATAGTACTTCATTCCTTTTTATGACTGAGTAATATTCCATGGTAGGGATAGACTACTTTTTTTATTGAGTTACAGTCAGTTTACAATGTTGTGTCAATTTTGAGCACAATTTTTCAATTATACATGAACATACATATATTCACTGTTGCATTCTTTTTTCACTGTGAGGTACCACAAGATCTTGTATATATTTCCCTGTGCTATACAGTATAATCTTGTTTATCTATTCTACATGTGCCTGTCAGTATCTACAGATTTTGAATTCCCATTCTGTCCCTTCCCACCACCCTCCCCTCTGGCAACCACAAGTTTGTATTCTATGTCTATGAGTCTGTTTCTGTTTTGTATTTATATTCATTTGTCCCTTTCTTTCTTTTTCTTTCTTTCTTTCTTTCTTTCTTTCTTTCTTTCTTTCTTTCTTTCTTTCTTTCTTTCTTTCTTTCTTTTTCAGATTCCACATATGAGTGATCTCGTATGGTATTTTTCTTTCTCCCTCTGGCTTACTTCACTTAGAATGACATTCTCCAGGGACATCCATGTTGCTGCAAATGGCATTATGTTGTCATTTTTTATGGCTGAATATTATTCCATTGTATAAATATACCACCACTTCTTTATCCAGTCATCTGTTGATGGACATTTAGGCTGTTTCCATGTCTTGGCTATTGTGAATAGTGCTGCTATGAACATTGGGGTGCAGATGTCTTTTTGAAGTAGGGTTCCTTCTGGATATATGCCCAGGAGCAGGATGACTGGGTCATATGGTAAGTCTATTCCTAGACTACATTTTGTTTATCCATTCATCAGTTGATGCACATTTGGGTTGTTTGTGCCTTTTGGCTATTGTAATAATGCAGTCATAAACAAAAACATTGTGTACATATTTTTGTTTGAACCTCTATTTTTAATATGCTTGTGTGTGTATATATATATTCATATGCTCAGGAGTAGAATTGCTGGGCCATGTGGTAATTGAGGTGAGGCAATTTTAAGTGAAATATAACTAAATCAATAAGTAGTTCCATTTTTGTGCGGGGGTCATATTGTTATTTCTCTTTTGTTATGTTAACAACTTTTCTGGACTCCTACATTTCTGTACAAAATGTGGTATGAGAGTTTATACCAGGAGCCTACAAGATGATATCACCAACCCACACTCAACATAAGAACTAACCATGTTTTATACAAAGTGCCCACTGATTTAAGGCAGTTGAGGGTCTCCAACTCTATCAGGGGCACTGGTATGCACCTTCAAGTAATGAAGATTATAGACATGTCACCGAATTGTTTCTATAATAGTTTTGGAGACACATAGATCGTAGTCATATTACAGACAGTTGCCTTGAGTCACTCACTAAACTTCTCTGTATCTCAGTTCCTCCATCTGTAAAATGCAGGTAATAATCACTGCTTCTCAAGATTGTTATGAGAAAAGAGCATGGCCTGGCACATAGTTGGCACTTAATAAATATTAGTTCTCATTCCCCCATATTATCTTACACTCTTCAAATTAACTGTTCTTCGAGACAACAGTATTTTTCTTCTCGTTTTCTCTTTCAGGTTAAAATTAAACTGCCAAATACAAGCCCTTCTGAAATTAAAATCGATATTCAGGAAATGATCCTCGACCTCCGTACTCCTAATAAGTGAGTAAAACTTAGAACTAGAATAATGAATATTATAATATTCATTAATCTTTAGTCAATATCCTTTCTAAATGTGTACATAGTTATTTTGCATCACTGCTAAAGTCTGAAGAAAAGTGAAAAAGTCAGTTAATTATTCAGAGGTTTGATCTGTAATATAAATATAAATATATTTGTAAATTTGTAGATTTTTTTCTACTTTGTATGCATACATTTGGAGTAGGTTGATACCACCAAAACATAATCCTTGACATTCAGATATAGTTTGCTTATCTGGCAGGAAAAATAATTAAAGATGAAAATCTCTTCAGTTTTAAGTTTTGCACGTGTGTTTTTTTTCTTGTATAATGATGGCATAAGAAAAACAGTATCTTTAAGCTTTCTGGATACTATGGGGCTCTAAGGTTAAATTTGATTATATTCATCTAAAAATCAACAAAAAAGTATTGTCATCAATTACTTAAAAATTCTAACAGCCAGTGTATCACTAGATCCTCAAATTGTGTGAATACATTTAAAAATAATGCAGATGATAATGGAACAATTCAATTAAACATTTTGATATTTTCAAGAGTTTTGTCATTACACAAGTTCAAATCATCTTCCCAAAACACAACACATATGGTAAAATTCTGATAAAAATGTTTATCCTGAAACCTGGATAAATCAGTCCTGTCTTTCAAAACTAACTCTATAAGGAAGGAATCGATGGAGCCTGGCATGTGCTAGATAAATTATCTAAATATCTCACTGCTTTGTTCACTTTTCATCTGGATGTATAACAGTGAGCACACTGGTTGATTGCAGTGGTTCTTTCTCTGTACCTCATAAACATTTCAAACTGGCTGTGGGAGCAGTCAGCTGCTGGCACATTCTCTTCCTTCCATTATCAGTACCTGTAATTCTCTTGTGTTGGTCGTAGGGCTTCAAGAAAAAAAAATTAGATCTCTGGAACAAAAGACCTCTATGTGTAAACAACCCAACATACGTACATAGCTTAACGTTGATTTCTATAGTAGATGTGTTTAACCCAATATGACCTACCGATGAATATATATCAAATATTTTTAATTACTTAATGTGATTTCAAAATGTGATTTGCAGGAAAAAAATTGTCTCATGTTATAAAAATTACTTTCTTTATTCCTACCATTCACTTCAAGGAGGATTGTAATTTTTTCATTATACGTTATTTATGTATTTACTCTCCCACACAACCTTTGCAAGGAAAGTTGGTTAAATGTACAGTCAATCTTCCATGATATTTGTGCGCTTGCTGAAAGCACACACGTATCTACGCACCATGGAGTTAATTTCCGTTTCCCTAGCAGTTCTCACTGTCTCCATCAATCTTTAGGCAGCTGCTCTGGCTATGCTGTCATTCCAGATATCTATCAAAGCCCACTAAATGAAAGACTCATACAGAGATACTTTTCCATGTAGAATGTGGGCTATACTAGGTCATTTGGATCTTACTACACTTATACATTAAATGCTCAGTGCAGAAAGGTAATGTCTCTTAAGGAAAAAATTCATTAATTAAGACAGAAGATAGAATTAAGTTTTTTTAATCACTTTTCCTAAATACTTAAACATTCTTTGGAAGCATACTGTTTTCTGAAATCGTATTACTGGAAATGTGTCTTGTTTTTGAGTCTACTGATATTCACATTTACTTTCCTTAGTTTCTAACTTTGACACCCTGTAACACTATGTTAACTGGCTCCCAGAAAGATAAAAGAATACATTCTGTTCATGTATCTGTAATGCAAAACAGATAAACTTATTTTTACTGAACTGACTAGTAATATCAGTCTGTTGATAGTCAATTGCATTAAAATTATAAATAAAACCTAGTTTTTAGCATTATACAACCAGAATAAACAAAGCAGTTTACTGAATTCTTCATTTTTTAAAACTGGTTGTTTTGGCATATAGATTCCCAACATGGAATAGATAGAAAGGAGGAAAGAGAGGGGAAATTGTATAATGTCCCAGAATCTCCTGATTTGTCTTCCTATAAGGTTTCATTATTTTTTAGGTGAATTCTAAGAATATCATAAATGAATTCCTTGAGTGTGATTTAAAAAAACACATTCTAAAGATAAATATGAATTAATTTTTGGTTGAGTGTTGCTTTAGATTATTCTTACCTTTGCTTGTGGTCCTCTGATTTAGACTGAGAGTTGGCTGATGTTAAAAGACATCGATACCTTAAAAAAAGTTTTCTAAGTGAAATAGTGAATTGCAGCTCACTAGGTATTTCTGCACTTCCTTTGAAAACAGTTATGTCTCCAATAAGAAACCTTAAAAAGTTCATGTCTGTTTATAGCCCAGATATGTAAATCAAAGAATTTATTAACTACATAAAATAAAAAGTGCATTATGGAATATGCACAGAACAAGGTTGTCCTTTATTTAAATCTATTCCAAGTAACATCAAATTGAATTCTCTAATATAAACGTAAACATATAAGTCTCTAAACTAGAGTTCACTCTATAGATAACTGTTTTGTTTTTACTTTCATATAGTATTGTTTGCATTTAAATAATTTCTAATGAAAATTAACACTGAATAAACATTTTACCAGTGATTAAACTGGTAGCTTCTTAAAAAGCAAATATATTTTCAAAGTAAAAGCAGAGGGATTGGATTTAAATGTTCATTCGTATTTTATTATAGTACTAATCTATACTGATTATTGAAATATCATTCATGATGATCTATTTGCTTTTTATTCATTTATTCATTCACTCAATAAACATTTATGAAGTTTTCTGCTAGACACAGGAAGGGGACACCAGTATAAAATACAGTCCTGTTCTTCAGTAAATTGTACATGGTTAAGTATTTGTAGAATTTTATTTTGTTTAAAATGTAAATCTCACTTCAGATATCAGACCATAAAACAGACTAGACAAAAGTACTTCCCTTCTTCTAAGAGCACACTTTATACTCAAAATTTTAGTATGTGAAGCCACACAACTAACGACTGGACAAAAACACAGGTATAGATGGATCATTCCAGTGGCCACTGTCTCTTTTGAATTTATTTTTCTCTGGACAGAGAAGTACACATTATCATTCGAACTCCTTCTTCAGCTGATTATAGTTGTCTTTTAGTGCAATGAAGCTACCACCACTGAGTTTTGCTTTATTTTAAAAGTGAATATATTATCATTTGTAGACTAAGAGATAAAGCAAATACAACTCTAGCACAATCTATATTGTAAACAGCGTTAAAAAGATGGACTCTAAATATTTTTTGCAGCCACTTTTTTTGAGATGCCAAATATTACAGGCTATATTAAAATACAATGCAATTTAATTACTTCAAGTGGATGGAGCTGTTTCTCTTACCTCAAATATCTAGAATGAGACAAGAGTAAGAAAAAATTTCTTCTTTAAGTTCCAGAGATATGTGATAAATACTTTCAATGAGCCCAGTTTCCTGAACTTAGGTCTTTGCAAATGAGTGAAGAGGAAATTGATTTTCAAGGGTTTCGTTTTCAAATACTAGTCCTTTGTACAGGTATTCAATAAGTATCCCTAAAAATTACCACATTCCTTTACTGATTTGGATCTTATACCTTCTAAAAGAGCTTTTCTGTCCACTTTTTGTAGAGATACTCAAAGCTCCTCTACTGAGAATGTGAGGTAACAAGTGTTTCATGTATTTAATTTTCTTCAGATACCAGCATGTGCCAACCCCATACATAATTCAGATTCATACCACTATGACAGAATTATGGATGTCTCATCCCAGCCATTCATCTAAAGCATACAGCTATCTAGTAATCTAGTAACTGAGCCATAAACTGCAAAATACACTCAGGATTCTCTCACAGGGAATTTTTGTCAATGTATAGTAGAAAGAACCAGAAGGAAGCAGAGAAAAGCACTTTCATTGATCTGGTATTGAAATCATTCCAGGCCTGAGTTTCAATAACTACACCCGTAGTAGAGACTCAGCCCAAAGTTGTGTTACCAGAATTATCATAGAATCATTCCAATTTTCAGATTTCTATCAGTCAGCCACATTCCATCTACACATAAATATGACTGGCAACAGACCTATCCAACTGGTTTAAGGTTGCAATGCTTGTAGTTCTATACCTATAACCCTAGCCTGAGACTATGTTTATATAATACAAAATGAGGCCAATTTAGAAAAAAAGAGGAGTCATCAAAACCACTGCTTGGATTTTTAAGGCCAAAAAACCAGTATACTATTTGTGTTATTTAGGCATAGTTTTGATCCAGTAGTCATACTGTCTAAATAGTTTTTTTGGTTCCTAATAATATTCTACTGGTATATATTACTTCCCATTGCCTTATTAAAAGTGACATCTTCTTGATATCACTGATTCTAGGTTTTTATTTTGTTTTGTTTTGTTTTGTTTTGTTTAGGAAACTGTTGCTAACCCTTCCCCATCCTGTGGAATGCAACAGTGCCAAAGCTTGCTATATCCTTGAAAGTGAGACTCTCGAAGTTACCGTGACTATGAAACGAGAGTTGGATTTTCTTAATTTCTTCTGAAACTGCATGGATAAGGAGGAAACTTGGTAAAACAGCACTGATTAAAAAAACTAAAAACTGAAAAAATTGCTTAATGGTTTCAATCTTCTCTGTATTATTCTGATATATTTCAGAAAGGGCCTATCAATTCTAGTGATATTGTGATCATTTACAGTCATTTCTTTTACTCTAGCAAGAAATATTGTTTTCTCATACTAATAAGCTATTTCATTTTTATAGTGATCGCTGGATAGAATTTACAGGTTAACCAATTAGATTACTACATGGTCAATTAAATAACTGAAATATGACCGTGAAATAGTTGGTCCACTTGTTTCAGTGGTCGAAAGAACTTAAGCCAATTGATTATAACATGATACAATCAGTTGCATAGCAATTGGTCATTATTATCACCAGAAAAGTTTATTCAGTTTCCTTTTTTTGTTGATTTAATCAAATGATTTTGCCTGTTCTCTGTTTAGGCTCTCACTATTGTTATAGAATATATAAATAACAAAGGATTATAAATAGTCTGATGCACCATACTAACGACATGTTTTGCTTGAATAAGAATACTCTTGAGCACACAGTGTTATTTGGCTTCCTCAGTCCTGCTTTCAGTGTTTGGATCTATTTAGGTTAAAAATATTTTTCCTTTTGTGCATTAATAATTATTAACAATGCCTTTTTGAGTACTGTGTTTATATTTAGTAATTGAATTCCTTGACATTTAAAAAGAATATAAAGAAAAGTGTGGTGCATTTACAAATCCTGTTTTCTCTCATTTCCTATATTTATTCTTAATTAGACACACTTAGTTTTATGAATTATGCCAATGTATCGTGCCTCTTCTGTACTGTATTGTGTAAGTTTATTTTAGAATTATTTATGAATAAATTATATTTAAAAACTTGTGTGACTTGGTCTCACGTATCATTGTAGAACTCTGGACTTACCTGGGAGTAAATTTTGAAAAGAGATGAATAACTGAAAGATGTTTATTGCTTCTATGTGAACTCTTAAGGGACTAAATGTTCAAACATATTTTCTAGATTTAACTATGCAGACAACAGCCAAGCATCTAGTTTGTGACTATACTGAATAGAAGGAAAAGACTGAGATTTTGGAAAAAGTGATTGTGTTAAAACACCAAGCTCTTGTAGAGAATTTGACTTTGAAATTACCAAAATGACTTTCCTCTTTGAGGGCAAGTGTTGCTGGTGAGATTAACTGAAAGGAAGTTAGTGTCTGTGAGTTTAAGCCCGTGGTGTTACAGGATCAAAAGGGTGTCCTGGTTTGCTTTCTTAATATCTTTTTAAAAGGCCATATTTTAAGAATTTCAAGTTACACCCTAAACTTTAAACTCTAGAGCAAGCATGACTGGTTACTAGCATTTTTCTTCCCTAGAAAGCAACAGTGAGTCAGTGAAAAATATATCTCTTTTTCCTATATATTGGCCCTAATTACAGAGACCATCATTAGTCAAGCTGACTGAATGTGTACAAGTTGTCCCTGGAAGACAGCATAGAGCATATCCAAGCCCACTTGAATTGGGCTTTGGTTATGTGGCACTGTATTAATGCAACAGAGCTTTAAGACAATGAAATGTGATCCAGTAATTTATACCCATCTACAAATCATACTGCTTCACTGTCCTTGGCCTCAGAAGTAACAACTTTGTTGTTGTTTTGTTTTTAAGCTAATTCACAGGACTTTCTTTCTTTAAAGAGGAATTGTCCAGTAAAGCAAATGGAGAAAAAGAGAATGCAAAAGGAAATTTGTCTTCTCAGAATTTTTCCATGAATCTGAGCATTACCAGGAGAACTGGGAGTTAAAACCGCCACTGTGGCATATCACTAGCCTTCTCCTTCAGGAACTTCTTTACCTCACTTTTTGGTTCTATAACCCCTAGTAGCATTTGTGAGGATTCAGTCATTCATTCATGCATTCATTTATGCATTCTTTCAACAAATATCCACTGAGCATTTACCACATTCCTAGCACTATGTTATGTATTGGGGATATAGCAATGAGCCTACCAGACGTGGTCCCTGTCCTTGTGGAGCAAGTAGTTTAGTGGTGGAGACCAACAATAACCAAATAAACACATAAACATAGATTTTCAAGTTTATTGTTACTACGAAGGAAAAGAATGGGTGCTTTGAGACTATCAGAGAACTCAAACCCAGTCTGGGGAGGGAGAGCAGAAAAGGTTTCCCTAAAGATTTTGTACTTCAGCTGAAACATGGAGATTACTAGGACTTAGCCAGGCAAAGAGAGTGTTGGGGGAAGGAGGGCAGTGGGGCTTCTAGGTGCAAGGCATAGCAAATGTGAAGACCCATGAGAGAAAGAACTTAGAGAGTAGAGTTCAAGGAAATGAAAGCCAGTGTGGTTGGAACAGAGTGAATCTGGCAAGTGTGCCTGGAGGTAAGATTGGAAATGTAAGCTGGAGCAATGTCATGTAGAACTTTGCAGGCTAAGTTTAGGAATTTGAATTTTATTCTAAGTGCTTTGAGAAGAGAATGTATGAGGAGGCAAAAATGGAAATGGGAGGCCAGTTAGGCTATTGACTAGCCCAGGCAACTTATTTTTCTGCACATTATCCTAAGTAAAATTCATTGTTGAATTTTTTCTAATTAGAAAAAAAAAACATGCTTACATGCTCCAAGCAGGAAACTTTAATAATACAGAAAAATTCTTTAAAAATAAAGCGAAGTTTAAAATCAACTGTAAGCCAACAAACCATAAATAACCACTCTTAACCATTCTGAGTGCCTCTTTCCAAAGTTTTTGTTCAATGTATAACATAGATCTTATTTTTTTCCCAAATGGGATGATATCGTGCAAACTGGTTTTATAACTTTTCTTTTAATTTCCAAGTATATTCTTTTTTATCTTTTTGTTTCTGGGAATTCTAATTTTATTGCATTTTGATAAAATAATGTGATAAATGATTTATGTGTATTTTTAAAGAATAAGTATTCTGTAATTATTTGGTACAGAATTATGTATTATATATGTAAACTCAAGTATTTTTTATTTTGTTGTTCAGATCTTCCACATTCTTGTTAATTTTTGGCCCACTTTCTCTACCAACATGAAGAGGTGTATTAAAATTTACCACCGAAGATAGATTTGTTGGTATCTCCTTGTAATTCTGTCAATTTTTTCTTTATACATTTTAAGGTAATACATTTAGGTGCAGACAGATTTTAAATTGTTCTTCTTCCTGGTGAATTATTCCTTTTATCACTGTTCTGTGACACTCTTTATCTCTAATAATATTTGTTACTTTAAAGTATGTTTTGCTTAACAATAACATAGCTACATCAACTTTGGTTAGTATTTGCCTGGCATGTCTTTTTCCATCACTTTCCATGCTTTTATGTTTTAGGTATGACTTTTATGAACAGAAAGTAGATAAATTTTAGGCTTTTAAATGCCACAAAAATTCTGTCTTTAAACTCACAAGTTTTAGTCTAGTTACAGTTATTGTGATTAATGATACACATGGATTTATTTACATCACCTTATCATGAAATTTCTCTCTTATTCTGCTTTTTTATATGCTTTTATTCCTCCTTTCTTGCCTCTTTTTCTATTAGTTAGTTTTCAAAATTCTTTTTTCCTCCGACTGGTTTGGAAGTTATATATACTTTTTTTTCTTCAAATGTCTAAAGTTTCTCAATAATTCTACCTTCCCTTAAAGTTTAGGGATTGCTTTAGTAATTGCTTCCCTTAAAGCAATTCAAAGACATAGGAAGTTTTAACCAAACCATGTCCCTCCAAGTTTGTTTTCATACTCCTAAATTATTCATCATCCTTATTATTGTTTTTTTTACAACCAATGCTTATTTAGATCTACCTACATGTTTACTAGTTCTTCACTCACCATTCCTTTTTCCACATCAGTGTTTCCTTTTGAAGTACATACTTCAGTATTTTTTTCAGCAAGGGTTTGTGAGTTCTTGATTCTTTGAGTTCATTTCTGGAAATGTTTTTATTGCCCTCACTCTTGAATAACAATTTAGCTGGGTTTAGAAATGTAGGTTGACAGATATTTTCCCTCAGAACTTTGAAGAACTTTAACCTGTATTCTGGCCTATATTTTGTAATTTAAAAGTCTGCTGTCTGTCTCATTGCTGTTCCTTTGGAGGTAATCTATCTTTTCTCTCTGGTAGTTTTAAATATTTTTCTCTTTGTTTTTGGTGTTGTGCAGTTTGATTATAATGTGTCTGAATATAGATTTTATTATATTTATTTTACTTGGCAACTTTTCTTAAATCTTTCATCAGTCCTGGAAAATCCTCAGCCGTTATGTCCTCGAATATTTTCTTTCTCCCATTCTCTCTATTTTCCTTCTGAAATTCCTCTTAGATTAAGGTGGAACCTTTCATTCTATCCTCCATGTTTTTGAGCTTCTTTGTCATATTTTCCATCTCTACTTTTTTTTTTAAAACTGAAAATTTTTCTCAAATCTATTCCCCAGCTCAGTGATTCATAGGATTCTAATCTTGCTGGTAAGTGTGTCCATTGACTCAATTGGTAGGCCATTTATTCGTATAGGTTTTAAATTTTTTATTGCAATATCTTCTTTATTGGTACTTTAAAAAATTCTGTGAAAACTTCTTGCAGTCTGTGTTGTGGGAGCAGCCCTTCAAAGCAGTTTTACCTTTGCTTCTACCAAGACCTCAGGGTAAAGTTTCCCTGGTCATGCAGGTAGTATAAATTAAAACCCAAAGCTCACAAGAGTTCCAGGCCTGTGCTTTAAATTCTCAGAGGAACTTTTTCCTTCCATCTTTGACTTAGATAGCAATAGATAAGCTTCCTTGTTGCTTCCTTACGCTGAAGATGCAGATTTTTTCCCCTACTCCAACCTTTTATTGAGAATGCAGTCCTTCCAGGGGAACTTTATGGTGGGATCCTTGGGCCCAAGACCTCTTCTCCTATCCCTGTGGTTCTAAAAAGTTGGTGTTCCCTTCCCAGGGCAACCACAACTCTCCCTCACAAGATTACAACTTTGATTTCCCATTTCCCCTACATTTCTGTCATCTAGGAATTTTCCCTTTATTTCTTATGAACTGAGTTATGCAATTTAAAAATATTTGTATATTTTCTCTTGAGCTATAAAGGTTTGAATCAAAAAGGATTTTCAGTTAATTTAGTTGGCCATGTTGCCAAAAATGGCCAGGAAGCTTTCTTAATTTAGCAAAATATTTTAATATCTTCCCAGACTATCAGAATGCTTGTACTAGTGTATACTTCCCCCAACAATATATGAGTACCCATTTCTCTGCAGTCTAAGAAAGCCTGAATATTGTCATGCCTTTTCATTTCTAGTTTAATAAGGAAAAATAGCATCATGTCATTTTTGCAAATTCCCTTCTTTGACATTGTTTTGTATTGGTTTCTGCCTATGCATAGTAATGCTATCAGCTAGGAATGCCTGGGGCACTCACCCGGGCCTATGAGGAGTACTACCTGTGAAGAGCCTCCACAGACGTTTCCCCAACTGGAGCCAATGTTGTGGGTAGACTGGCCCTTGTGGTTCTTATTACAGTTATAAGACACACTTCTGCAACAACCATAAAGGAACTTTGAAAAAACAAAGTATGTTACTTACAGGTTTTAGATGATACATGGCATGCCTGAGGGCCACACAGAGAGATCACAGGTAAAAAGAGAGTGTGTACCTGGGGTTCTGCCTTTCTTGGGTTCAAGGGTGAAGTGCCCAGGGTTTCCCCAAATTTGTTCTTCATTGGTGAGTTTAAAACATGAGAGCAGGAATTAAAGCACGAGAAGGGAAAAGTAAGCAGTCAGTTATCTAGGTCATCTAGGGCTTTCTAAAGGGGGAACTTCACAGGCTTCACAGGTGGGGCAGCCTGGCTCTTTATCTACTTGTGTATCTGGCAA